GCCGCGGACTCCTTCCTCCGCCGCCGACCGAGGGCGGAGTTACGGTCTGGGCACCCGGAAGCTGCTGGTTCCTTGAGAGCGAATTTTCGGAAGTGGCGGGGAATGGCGGAGACGGTAGCCTTTTGGTAGGTGGTTGTTACACAAATTGCTTTCCGTTGTGAGCGCTCAGAGCCTGCACCCCGGCCAGGTTGTCCTTCCTTTCCCCAGTCGGCCTTTGCTGTCTCCTGAAACTTGGTTAGCGTCAAAGTTGAGTTTGGGAGAGTAGTAGAGATTTAACATCTTCCAAAGATAGAGCCCTTGCAGCCGTGGGCAAACTACGGCCTGCGGGCCGGATTCGGCCCGTTTGAAATGAATAAAACTAAAAAAAAAAAAAAAGACCGTACCCTTTTATGTAATGATGTTTATTTTGAATTTATATTAGTTCACACAAACACTCCATCCATGCTTTTGTTCCGGCCCTCCGGTCCAGTTTAAGAACCCATTGTGGCCCTCGAGTCAAAAAGTTTGCCCACCCCTGCTAGGGGCTCAAGGGAGAGAGTCTTGTTCCAGGTTGTGGCTTTATTTCTGATCTTCTCAGTGAAAGCTTTGCTAGGGCCAGTCCTCCTAAAATCACAGCTTTCTTATAAGACTTGTTGCTATGTGTCTCACCCTACCATTTCAGAAAAATGTTTGTTGGTCACCTGAGCTGGGATACCAGCAAAAAGGACCTAAAGGATTATTTTACCAAGTTTGGAGAGGTCGTTGACTGTACAATAAAAATGGATCCCAACACTGGCCGGTCAAGAGGATTTGGGTTTATTCTCTTCAAAGATGCAGCTAGTGTGGAGAAGGTAAGCTGGGTACTTTATATAAGGAGTAAATTCTAAGGACGCTACTCTTGGAGCGTGTAGCGTGTGTGTTCTGCACATGGTTGGTGCTTTGAGAAAAGCAGCTCCTTGTAGTAGGGTAGTGAGTGGGCTGGAGTGGTACAGGAAGATGAGAGTGGACATTTGCCTTCCTCTGCCTATTCTGGACACTGCAAACACTATTGTGAGGACTGGAGGAGAGTCCAAGGTTGTTACGAGATAGGCATTTTAGCTTCATTTTACAGAAAACAAGCTAAGGTTCAGAAGCTGAAGTAGAAAAGCTCACACAGGTGGCTAAGTGTGGTGGAGTAAGGATTCTGAGCCCAAGCAGCCCAGTTTCCTTCAGTCACTGCGGCTTTACTTCTGGAGATAGGCCTTCAACTGGAACTGCCGAGGCAGGAGGAGGGTGTACAGGATAACATGGGAAAAGTCGGGGTGGTGAGGACTGATTTACAGGTAAACCAGCTGTGCTTGACATTTGATGATGGTTGGGGTTAGAGTTTGGAGGGGATGAAACATTTTGTGTACCTGTGTTGGGGTTCCATGGCTCAAAGAGAAGAGCCTTGTGTAGTGTCATGCTGCTGAGTTAGAACCCAACTTCCTTCTGTCGGAACAGGTCCTCGACCAGAAGGAGCACAAGCTGGATGGCCGTGTCATTGACCCCAAAAAGGCTATGGCCATGAAGAAGGAGCCTGTAAAGAAAATTTTTGTGGGGGGTCTGAATCCTGAAGCCACTGAGGAGAAAATCAGAGAGTACTTTGGCGAGTTTGGGGAGGTGAGTGGCCTGCCCTCTGCCCTGAGGTGGCCTTCCTGGTCCGTGACAGCCTTGGCTGACTGGAGGAGCCCTCCTCAGCCAGGCTGCTTTATCGTTCTCTCGCCTTCATGGACCTTTTCTCCATCCAGTTCCCTGTGAGCCCTGGGGAGGTACTGGTCCTGAGCTTTGCCTGTGTTTACAGATCGAGGCCATTGATCTTCCAATGGATCCAAAGTCAAACAAACGACGAGGTTTTGTTTTCATCACTTTTAAAGAAGAGGAAGAACCTGTGAAGAAGGTTCTAGAGAAAAAGTTCCACACCATCAGTGGAAGTAAGGTAAAGTGTCTGCAGTTAATGTGTGTCTGGCCTCTTGCTGAGAGAGGTCTGCCCCTTGCAGGTGTGGCTTAGGGGTTGGGCTGCCTCCAAGGGCTCTCCAGGGTAGTGAGACTCCGTTGTTTCTCTGAAGGTCTGCTGCCCTGATTGGGGGCAGATGGTCCTGGCCTTCAAGGAGCTCTTAGCCTGGCAGTAAAAACAGAGTAGCATGCTGAGTAGTCTCTTTAAAGCTAGAGCTTAAGATGGTCTGAATCTAGAGTCTAAGATTTGCAGTTCTCAGAAGATTTTGGAACTTCTGCCGTTCACTGATTTCTTTCCCTGGCGGTGAAGTCCTGCTTACTATAGAAACTGCTGCAGAGCTTTTCTATCTTATTGCTTCCCAAACCAAATCTTTATTCTTCTCCATCCCCTTTTGATATTGGTTTAGTCAAATCCATCCTAGCAAGATTCTTCCCAAAGAGCCCCCAGGGTCCTGGCTCATTTATACCCAGGGCTAGTTTGCCTTTGAATGAATAGAAGTGAGAAATATAGCTGTTACCACCCCTGAACTCTGGTCTAGAGAGAGGGTAGTATGGCTTTTTAAAGTATTCTCCAGGTGGCAGTTGCGTGTTGAGGGTGTGGCAGGGTGTGGCAGGCTCTGTCTGTGCTGGAGTGGCAGCCAGATAAAGTTGGACAGGTAGGGTGGGGCTCCTGAAAACTTCAGTACCCTGGCTGGGAATTTAGAAAGATTGGATTGGAGTCTTAAATTTCATGTAAAATGAGATTGGATCCTAGGGGACATTTGGAAAAGACACCATCCATTAGCTAGCCCAGTGGATAGGGGTATCGACAGGCCTTTTTTTCTGCCATAATGAAAAATGGGCAGGAAGAACCTATAGGGCAGCACTAGTCACTGCTGGCAGTGGGTCTTGAAATACTGTATTTAGTTGTATGAAATACTGTGTTTAGTTGTATATTCAGTAGGGTAGAAAACATCAGATTGCATCACTGGTGGGGGTAATTTGCCAGTTTTACAGGAGTATGCTTATATGGGGACAGCTTATGTGGAATGTTTTTTTCACTGGTCTTAGTTGGGGGCAAAGTATGTGTCAGGGTACTTTTATTTCTTCAAATTATAAGAGAAAGTTCATTTAGAAAGTTAGAGGTAGTAGAAGTGAGCCAGCTGGGCTGTGTAGGCTCAGAAAACAAGTTAAAAAAGCAAAAGAAGGGCCCTTGGAACTTAGGAGAGGGAAAGGGAAAGGCATAGGGGGTGGTGGTGTAGGTGTAGAGGGGGACATGAAAGCTAGGGAGGGAGAGCGTTTTTTTTTAAATTTTATTTTTATTGTTGAAAGTATTACAGATGTCCCCCCCTTTAAAAAATTTTTATTTTTAAAATTGATTTTCAGAGAGGGAAGGGAGGGAGAGAAACATTGATGTGAGCGCAGAACATCAATTGGCTGCCTCCTCCATACCCCCACCAGGGATTGAGCCAGCAACTCAGCAACTTGGGCATGTGCCTGGACTAGGAATCAATCAGCAACCCTTCAGTGCACAGGACAATATCCTACCAACTGAGCCACACCAGCCAGGGTTTTATTTTTATTTTTATTTTGTTCTTTTTTCAGTGTACTTTTAAAAATACACTTCTAATTTATTTAAGCAGGAGCACTGGAAGGTTCCTGACCCTACCTCCACCCACAGTGGGCAGGTTTTTGAGCTAAGCAGAAACAGACTCTGGGGGACATACATAGGGCTTTTGGCCCATCCCAAATACAGACCAGTGGTTGGGGGAGGGGCAGCGGTAGCAGTCTGGCTTCAGGCAAGCTCTGCCCTGAGCCTCAGTGGCTTTCTTCCTCTGTAAGTTGGAAGTCGGGGTCACCACTATACATATGAGTAGGATGCTTCATTTTTTTTTTTTCTGTAAAAAAGTAAAATCAGAAAGTGTACTTATTCTCTGGCTCTCATCCGGGAAGCCTCTGACCTCCCTGCCTAGTAGGACCAAGGTGGCAGTAGACCTGACAGTTGGTGTGTTTTGCTATACTGAGCTGGCATTGGCCCTGCTGTCCCTCTCCCAATTGTTAAACATGGAGCTGTCCTAACCCTGGGTTTGTAGCCATCATTCCCAGTACATTCTCTGGGGGAAGGTTTGAGCCAAAAAGGCTCTAATGTGAATCTTGGTTTGTTTAGGTTTTAGTTACGGTTCTCAGAACTTCTAGCCCAAATGTGGTTTCACACCCTACCATATTTTATTATTAAGATGGACCAAGTCTGAATGTTTGTAAATGAAGGTCGTTGTGCACAGTCTCTCCCCAGAACTTGTCCCAGTGGCCTGACTTCCTATCCTCTTGGCTTGTAGTGTGAAATCAAGGTGGCTCTGCCCAGAAAAGTCTATCAACAGCAGCAGTATGGCTCTGGGGGCCGTGGAAACCGCAACAGAGGGAACCGAGGCAGTGGTGGTGGCGGTGGAAGTGGAGGAGGTGAGTGGAACACGGATGAATATGGGCCTGGTTTCCCTGCCTGCATGGAGCTTCCATGCCTGTCTTGGGGGCTTACTCTGGTCTCTGGTGTGGCAGGGTGGGCAGGGTGGGCAGGGACAGGAATGGCTCTCCTGGGTCCAGGCTATGCTGCTGCTGGTTGGAGTGGAAGAGCCCATATTTCCCATGTGGTTTGGGGCCCCAGGGCAGCGGAAGATTTATATTATACTTTGAGAGGGGAGGGGTGAGGGGCCTGATGGGCTCTCTGGCTGTCCTGAGTCTTGGTCCACCCATGGGTGGGTGGGCGGGCAGAAGGTAGGGCAGGGCTGTGCCAGGCGCTTTATCTCCTTCTGCCCTAGGCCCTCTGACTCCAAAGCCTGAACTCTATCTTTTTTAAGGCCAAGCTGCCAGAGAGGGTTTGGGTAATCAGAGGGTGATTTGAGTGAGAATGAGTTCCTGCCTCTTTGGCCCTGAGAGAAGTTAGGTTCCGTTCTGTCTTCCTCTGCAGCTTGGGTCTAAGTGCAGAGTCAGGTTAGGGCTCTGTTATATCAGGACAGCAAGCCCCTTCCTTGGCTTCTACTGAGTTGCCATAGTAACCCCGCCACCCAAAGGGCAGGATTTCCTCCATCCTAGCTCCTACGTGTGCTAAATGGTCCATGGGCCCCTGTGCCCTGCTCCCCCCACAGGTCAGAGTCAGAGTTGGAATCAGGGCTACGGCAACTACTGGAACCAGGGCTACGGCTACCAGCAGGGCTACGGGCCCGGCTATGGCGGCTACGACTACTCGCCCTATGGCTATTACGGCTACGGCCCCGGATACGACTACAGTAAGTAGGAGAGAGGGAGGCCCCATCCAGTCACCCACCTGGGAGGCAGGACAGAAAGTGCAGGGGTCACTGGCAGCAGGGGCTTTTGGAGTCAGACAGGCTGGGCTTTGTAGCCTGCCCCAGGGGTGTTGGCTCTGGTGAGGATTTGAGCCAAGCGCCTGGCACAGGGATAAATGTTCAATAAATCTAGCTGCTATCATTGTTGTTCTTGTCCCTAGGTCAGGGTAGTACGAATTACGGGAAGAGCCAGCGACGTGGTGGCCATCAGAATAACTACAAGCCATACTGAGGCTTCGGCAAGAGTGCCCGTCTGACCGCACACGCTTTGTTTGGATATTGAGTGAACACAAACAATTATGTACCAAATTTAACTTGGCATACTTTCTATGGCCTGTCCCATGTGCATCTTATTTAAAATTTCCCCCCTGGAAATCACTCTCTTGTTTACTATTTCCAGAGCTCTAGTTGTTTTAGGCAGCGTGTGGTGTCTCAGAGGCCAGAGCGGCTTTGTGGGCTGATTTTATTACCGGGTTACCCAGAACCAGGTGGGAGGGTCAGTTTCCTGCTGCCGCTCTGCATCCTGGACCTGTGGACCCTGGTTGTAAAAAAGTCTATCTTAGGAAACCAGTGTCACCTTTTTTCACCTTTTAATTTTATATTATTTGTGTCATACATTTCCTGTAATGGAAGTGTTAATTTTACTGTACTTTTTGGTACCTTTTGGGAATCTAATGTATTGTAAGGTATTTTACACGTGTCCTGATTTTGCCACGACCTGGATATTGAAGCTATCCAAGCTTTTGAAATAAAAATGTAAAAACCCCTAAGCCTGGGTGAGTGTGGGATATGCGGTGCATAGAACTTCGGCCCCTTTAAAGGAAGGAAATGGCTGGAGGTTTAAGGCAGCTGTTCATGGGGGTGAAGATTGTGCAGTAGGGATTCTGAGACACCTTAGAACACCTTTCTTAAAACGGGGTTCTGTCTTCCAGGACAGTGAACCTACAATCAAGGATGCCCCCTCCTGGCTGAAATGTAATAGCCTACTCTGGCAGCACCTATTTGCTGCTGGATTGGAGCACCTCAAGTCTGGTGGCAAGAGGAGGCAGCAGGCTGTGGGACTGGCTCTAGGTGGTCGGAGCCTGAAAAGGAGTTTTGTTTCCCCTCACTCCTAGAAGGAACTGGCTGGGGAGGACGTGGCTGCTCTTGCCCTCTTGCCTCAGCCAACAAATGCAAACAGTTGGAGATTTTCTGGCAGGGGTATGTGGAGAGAGTTCAAGGTAGCCAGAGCCTCCCAATGTTGGAAGTACCCTATGGGAAGGGGACATCACTTGGAACAAAATTTACAAAAAAAAAAAAGCTTGGTTTCCTGGGGGGTACAGAACGGTTCAGGAACCCAGTTGTGGCCTACTCACCTAGTAAAGGACATGACAGGGCAGGGCTACCACAGGGCTGGGGCCTTAGCGTCTCACAACTTCTCACCTTTTCTTCCATGTCTGAAAAAGACCCCATGGCCACCCAAACTGGTTAACCTTTCTCATCTGCTAAAGGCTCCTCCTGCCTTCAGTGTCTAAGCTTCTTGGATGGCAGTTTGGAGTTGGGCTCACTGGATAGGGCCATGATCCCCCACACTTGACCTATATGTATGTGGCACCAGCCACAGGATCAGCAACAATATTCCCAAAGGATAAAGCCTGCCCTCAAGTTTCCCAAGACCCAAATTCAACCAGAGGCTCCTATAGGAAACCTAAGCTAGTGTGCCTCACCTCATCCAGCAGGTTTTATACCACTTCCCAATTGTGTACAGGGGGTTGGCCCTCAGCTCTGGAGCCCTGGGGGCAGAAGTGAAATAGCCCAGAGGTGGAGGACAGGGAGGGGTGGTTCTGATCTCCATCTAAGGGACGGGACTTTGCCTATTTAGGGGGCCACCCCTGCCCAGAACTTTGCATGCATAGCCCTTGGGGGTGGCTCAGCTCCCACCTCCCCAGTGCTTGGGAAGCCCCACCAGCACAGGCAGAAATAGAAGTGACCTGGGCCAGTAAGACCCCCTCTCCACTTGAGCTCCTTGCTTCCTGCACTGTCCAAAGGATACCTAGCTCAGCTGTTGCGCCCCCTTCCCCTGAGTACACTAGACCATTGTAGCTGCTGGGCTGGGTCCTGGGCACATGGACAGCTGGACACAGGGCTTTATGCTTACCTGTTAGGATGGCATCCAGCTTTGCCACCACATGTTGTACGTTGTCCAGGCTGAAGCACATTGGGGGCTTAAACTTCAGGACATTCCTACCAGGGCCGTCAGTGCTTAGCAAAATGTAGTTCTCCTTCAGCCTGTAGGACAGGACATAACAGAGCCTTGCTACACCACCAGCCCAGGGCCCTTCACATGGTCTTCAAGGCTTTCCTGCACCTGGCTTTGGCCACTTGGCTAGGTTTCCAGCCACACTGCTCTTGGAGCCCTTCACAGCCCCCCCCGCCCCCCGCCCCTTGTATGGGGCACTGGCTACCCCTTGCAAAACTTTATTTCCATCCTTTGTGCCCTGGTGTGAATGGCTCATATGGACCTGGCCCTGAGAAGGGGCATAGTCTTAACTGCCCCTGGAGTTCCAGTCTAGTCTAGTCCCTGTGTTTCCCACTTCTTGTATGGTTTATATGATGTGTATGGCTTGCTTTGTAAATGTATGGAAAATGTCCAACATTACAAAGTGGTACAATGAACTCCATCCCCTTATCTAGTTTTAGTAACTTCCCCTGCTCCCTGCACACAGGTAATGTAATTTCCAGACAGCTCTTGTCAGTTTAATTTCCAGTTCCTTTTAGGAGGATGACTTTACCATACTTAATACTATCATTGATATGTAAGAGAGTCATTTTTAATATCCCACATTTATATTTTTAACCTAGGAAGCTGCCCTGGCTAGGTAGCTCAGTTGGTAAGAGTGTTGTCCTGATATGCCAAGGTTGCAGGTTTGACAAGTGAATGCATAAAAAAGTGGAACAACAAACCAATGTGTTTTTTTATCAATGCCACCCCCACCTCTCCCCCAATTCCACCTAGGAAGGCATTTTGGCTACTGAGAGAAGGGGTCTAACATGATTGTAGAAGATAGAACTGATGAGGGAATCATTGGTCAGTTGCCTCCTGTACACTCCCCACCAGGGATTGAGCCTATAACCCAGGCATGTGTATTGACAGGGAATCAAACTGATCAGGTTCATAGGTTGATGCTCAACCACTGAGGTATACCAGCCAGGTTCCACTTACATTTTTTAAAGTTTATGTTAAGTCTCGTTAGGAGCCATGGTGTCCCAGACTATGGCAGTGTTAGAAAGAATAGGCCTGACCTTAGCTTGTTCAGTTCAGTAGATAGAGCATTGGCCTGTGGACTGAAGGGTCCCAGGTTCAATTCCAGTCAAAGGCACATGCCCAGATTGTGGGCTCGATCCCCAGTAGGGGGTGTGCAGGAGGCAACCAATCAATGATTCTCAATATTTATGTTTCTCTCCCTCTCTGAAATCAATAAAAGTATATTAAAAGGAAAAAGAATAAGGTCTGGATTTCAAATTCAGCTCTACCACCTACTAGAGATGAAACACCAAATTCTTGGTAACAGATTCCTAGCTGAACTGGAGAAATCACAAGTGGCTATGAGATGGAGGAAATCAGGCTGGGCCTCAGATCTGATTCCTTCCAATGGGCCATGCTGGATTCCTGAGCTGAGGCTGGGGTGGGGTGAGCATGGGGTAGCTGAGTGGGCAGATGTGTCTGACCAGTAGAGAGAAGGCAGGGACTGGACAGTCACTTAGGGGAGGAGTCAGTCTCAAAAAACCACAGAGGGGGAGATTTTTTCCCCCACATCCTTACTGTTTTATGTGAATTCCAAACGCAGAATGATACACATTTCCCAAGGATTTTTTGAGGTGGGGGAAAGGATAGGCGTGAGGAATGGAGATAAAAGGGGAAAAAAGTGCTGAGGCTGGAGTCCTACCTGGATTCAAGTGAAAAATGTGAACCGGTTTGGGCAGGGGGCTTCTAAGTCCAGAGATGATGCTCCATCTAGACATACCCACCCAGACGAGCAGGAGTCCTGTCCATCCCCTGTCCCTGGTGTGGCCCTGGAGAAGCTCTGCAAAGGCAACTTGCTTGAAGAAAAAGTACCTGGATACCAAATAGTCAGCTTCTTCGGTGGCTGGTGTCCTTGTGGCCTCATCTTTGATCAAATCCACACCAATAAAAAGTCCGACACCCCTGGAGCAGAAGGTGACATCTCAGGAGTCCAGGCCTGAGGGACCACGGGCCTAACACTTGCCCTGTGCCTGGGTCTCAGCCAAGTCCCATTGGAAAGTCCACCAGGGCTTGTACCTCTGTCTCCTGGGGACCGAGTCACAGGAACTGGTGGTGGTGGTGTGTGTCTAGGAAGTAATTGCAATGGGGAGGGGCCCTCACTTTTGACAGAGGAAAGATGGAGGGGCAGCGAGTCAGAGCTACTTGATCCTGACTTTTCCCCTCCCTAGAAGTGCCACTTTGGACAACAGCCCCTCTAGGTGCTTCACTTCTTTCCTTGTGGAGACTCCCACCAACCCAGGTGTTAGGAGGTGAAAGAAGAGATGACTCTAGGCCTCTTGCAGGTGCTTCGTTAGTGGGCGGTGACTTGCCCCAAGCCTCACCTGATGTCCCCGATGATAGGATGCTTGGCCTTCTGCTGCCTGAGGAGCTCCATCAGGAAGCTGCCCACACAGGCAGCATGAGCCTGCAGCTGTTCCTTCTCTAAGACATCCAGGACGGCCAGCCCCACTGCACAGGACACTGGGCTGCCCCCAAACTGAGCCAGGGGCAAAGGGCATGTCAGATGTCCAGCAGAGGAAGAGAGAGGGGGAGAGGGAGAGAGAAAGAATCAATGATGAGAGAGAATTGCCTCCTGCACACCCCCTACTGGGGATTGAGCCCACAACCCGGGCATGTGCCCTGACCAGGAATCAAACCATGACCTGTTTCATAGGTCTGTGCCCAACCAGTGAGCCACACCTGTCGGCTGTAATTTTCCTTAGTTCCCTCTTTAATTCCAAATGCACAAAAGCTGCAAAATGCTATTCTTGGAAGCACTTTTCTCATTCTGTTGAGATCTTGCTTCCAGGTGTATCCTCTGGCTCAAATATTTCCCCCTTCTTTGTTATTTTAATTTTTCAATTACAGTTGACATTAAATAATTAGTCTAACATGACATTAAATATTTTAAAACACAGTGGTTAGACATAATTTTTTTGTTCTTGTTAAGCCTCTCGATATTTTTTCCATTGATTTTATTTTTTTTATATTTTATTGATTTTTTACAGAGAGGAAGGGAGAGGGATAGAGAGTTAGAAACATCGATGAACGAGAAACATCAATCAGCTGCCTCCTGCACGCCCCCTACTGGGGATGTACCCGCAGCCAAGGTACATGCCCTTGACTGGAATCGAACCTGGGACCCTTGAGTCTGCAGGCCGACGCTCTATCCACTGAGCCAAACCGGTCAGGTTGATTTTATTTTTTAATAAATATTTACTTAAGGGAGAGAGAGAGAGAAATATCAATGATGAGAGAGAATCATTGATCAGCTGCCTCCTACATGCACCCTACTGGGATCAAGCCCACAACTGGGCATGTGCGGGAATTGAACCGTGACCACCTGGTTCATGTGTCCATGCTCAACCACTCTGTCACACAGGGTGGGCTCCATGGAAGGGAAGGGGGAGGGAGAGAGACATCGATGTGAAAGAGCCACATCAACTGGTTGCCTCCTGCAGGTATCCTACCTGCAACCTAGATACGTGCCCTTGATGGGAATAGAAC